AAAGTTGTCGTTTATAAGAGGTGACGTGTTTGAATTTGGGCCGCTGTCAAATTGAGGTTGGTTCTGATCGGTCCTCTCCTTGGTGTGGGTATGCGTTGTTCGTGCTGTGCAGTGCAAAGTGTGCATGCAGACGTTCGTCTGTACGACTAGCGAAGCAAAATGTAAGGAGCATGCGGACGCTAAACATCCCAAGCATGACTTATGCCAGTGTTTTCCTCATCTCCAGAAGTGAGTTATTCTCGTCAGGAGGACGGCGAGTCCACAATTTTGATGATGGCGGATGTGAGGAGGTCTAGGAGTCTATATCCCCCGATTGAACAAGAATGAAAAAGAGAGAGAGAGAGAGAGAGAGAGAGAGAGAGAGGAAATCATGGCGGCTGACGTCGAGATAGGGAAAGCAGAGGAGGTTGCCTCCTGTCGAAAGAAGACGGTAGTGGAGAAGAGGTATATAGAAAATGGGGGAACGGAAAAAGTAGAGTTGTGGGTCCGAGACAAGAGAAGCGGCTGCGGGAGAGGAGAATGCATGAAAGTGAGAGAAGAGATGATGTTGGGATGATATTAATAAAAGAGAGGGGACTAATTCCGCTTTCGGACAAATTTTGATAGAAGAGTGGTTTGAAAGGAGTTTTATCTCGTTAGTAGTTCCTGTTGACGACGAGGGAACGGTGAATTTTCAAATGTTGAGCACAGAGAGAGAGAGAGAGAGAGAGAGAGAGAGAGAGAGAAGAACGATCCGCTGAATTCTGCGGGTCAGCCGAAAGAGAGGTGCTACGCATAGCGATGATGGATGATCACTACTTTTATGATTAGTAATTTGCTTTGGTTCATTATGTTGTCGTTTCCCCTTTTGATTGATTTGCAATACGGAGTTGCTTGCACACAAGAGACTTGTTCACGAAAGGATATCCACGTTAAAAGAGAGAGAGAGAGAGAGAGAGAGAGAGAGAGAGAGAGAGAGCTGTCTCTTATACACATCTAGATGTGTATAAGAGACAGGTATAGGCCGGGTTTCCCACACTCCGGCGGTTAGCAACTGTATGTGAGAGAGGGGCCAATGTGTGTGAGAGAGGGGCCCCGTGGACAATTGCATGCGCTACCCCGCCCCCTCCCCCCCCCAAACCAATTAGGCCCATTAGGGCCATGTTCCCTGCACCCTGGTGTTAGCCAAGTGAAGCTAATTATCACGTGAGTACATCATCACAAGGCTAAGTACCCACCATTGCGAGGTTCATGCTAACCAAAAGCGAACATGGTGACGAGTACGACCTCCTAGCCCAAACATAGCATTCGTGGAGCTTGGCCCTCAGCCATAGTACCTTCGTGCTGGGCCTGTCATTTGAGTTCTCGCACGGCTGAGCCCATACTCACCCGAGGACTCTCCTGGAGATACCAGAGCGGCTAGATTCTCATCGCAATCAGATCTGATCCACTCGAAATGTCGTAGTGGGAGTACGGCCTGAAAGGCACTGCCTGGGGTCCACAAAGTCTACGGGCTCTGGTTGTTGTTTTCACTCTTATTAGGCAATCCTCGGACTGGGACTTCCAAGCCCGCAGTTCGCTTCGGAGTCGTCTATGGTAGGGAGGCCCTCGTTGAATTGAATGTGCCCCTACTGTCTTATGGTCGATTTCCAGATTTGTTCTTGATTTGCCTGTCACCCTTACGTTACGTCTCTGGTCCACACCTGCACCCGAGCATGTCCCCGGCGTTGTCTCCAGTCACGGACGGGACAAAAATGGCGGCCTATGATGCCGCCGAATTGTTTCTTTCTTTTTCTTTTCTTTTCTTTTCTTTATGCCGCCGAATATTTATTTATTGAAAAAACGTCCCCCGCCGGAATCCGAAATCCTCCCCCATCTCGCAGTGTATATGGAAAACGTCGTTGTCAGTCACCTGCGTTATCAGCAAGAGTATGGTAACGTGCTTGAGTACCTTCTGACGGCGGCAGGGAAGATCATGTAAAATCTTGCCGGCGGCAATTTCGATAGTCGCTGGCCAGAGAGAACCGGTGGTACCGGATCCATACGCGGTCTCCTGGTTTCACGGAGTAAAGTAGGGACCGTGGTGGTGGCGGTAAGAGGGCGGGCTGCTGAGACGTCAGTGTGTTTCGTGAGCAGATTCTGTTCGATGTCGGTAAGCGCGTTGGAGCAGAGTGACGACAACGGGAGGCGACAGGAGCTTGGCTTGGATGCAAGTGACCTCGGCCCCGGCATCCAGAAGGCTCTTCTGCTTCCAGTACGACCTGCTACCGGTAGTTTCGCTATAATTGTGTACGCGCGGGGTATTGTGTTCTTCGTTAGAACCATCAAGAGAGAGAAAGAGAGTAGAACCATCAAGAGAGAGAAAGAGAGCAGCGACAGCCATAGCGCGACAGTGACCAAGCGGGCAAGGCCGCCACACAGACACACACACACACACACACACACAC